GGCGTCGGGCGTCGGGCGGTGGGTTTCCGCTTCCTCTCCGCGCTCGCCTCGAAGTCAGCAAAGCTAGCGCGAATCCCGATCCCAGGCTCTCGCGCAGGCCTCGTCCCACGGTCCCGCGAAGCCGCGCTTCTCGCCGAGGACCTTAGACCTGTGGGTCCGTCCGCGGCGTAGCTGAACTGGTTCCCCCGTTATGTGTCCCCGAGGGCCGAATCCAGCCCCACATTTCTGGCCCTCTTAAACTAACTTGTGGGCGCAAGCTTTTCTACCCTGCCTACCTGCACCGGAACTAGTCTCATTCTTCGCTTCCTACCCTAACAAATAGGGCAAAGGAATCTGTTTCAATCCCACATTTGACCCTTGTTCCCACGTGAAGTTCAAACTTGTGTTCTCATCTGATGCACAAGTAGGATAATTCAAAGTTTCTGAGAAGATTCAAATAAAGAATGTACTATATATAGTGCTGGCCTTAGAATTCTGTCGCTGGAATTGTGTGCACAAGAATCTTTGGCTAAATAATCTCCACAGACACATTTCCGGTTTGCACGGTTAAATGCATAATTTCCCTTTGGATTTTGTAATTTACTAACTTACTCTTTTTTAGAAACTGATCGATTTCCATCCCACGCAACAGTATAGCAAATGTTAGTTTACCCATACCTTTGCCAACTATAAATGTTATCTTTGCCAACTCAATAGACAAAAAATTGGTAGATCATTTTTACAGTTCTGTGGTTGTTGCCAAGTTGAATATCTATCACATGCTTTTTAACCATTTATAATTCTTTTTTGAAGAAGTCATGTTCTAGACTATACATGTTTTTATGTATATTGTGGTTGGTAAAATTTTATCTATCATACAAAACACCTTTTGTCACTTTTCGGCTATTGTACTCATGTACTCTGTCTATTGTCATAACAGTTTAGGTTTGAAATAGGCAAATTTATTGATAATATCTTTTAGGGAATCTGGATTTTTTTAGATCAGATTGTTCAAAGTACTGTATTACAACTCAAAGATTATAGAAACATTCACCCCTAATTTTTTCTAATATTTTAATTGGCAAATTACTGAGTTTTTTTGTTGTTGTTTGTCTGTCTGAATGTAAATCACTCTCTTTGTTTAGTATCTCCTAGAATTTATTTGAATCTAGTGGTGATGTAACGATTAATTTTTTACTTAAAATAGTGCCTTTTGGTTTGACTGTCACTTTTATCATATTCCATATTCCCTTGTGTACATAGTTTTTTTTTAGATCTATTCCATTGTATGAGAATTTTTTGGAAACATGACAACCTTGTGAAACCTGCTGTTTTTTGTAGTCTTTCAGTTGATTTTGGTTGATTCCTTTGGAATTTAAAAAGCAAATTCAAAAAATGTATTGTGATACTCTGGTATTATAAAAACTATATCATATCTGCAATAGCTTTTACTGTCTATAAAAACCTTGACACATCAACCTCTTGTTCCACTAGGACACTTATCACACAGTTTACCTTTTTATATTCCCAACTGCACCCACCACAAAGCAGAACAGACATAGATACCTGGATACATGGGAAACATAGAACTGCACTGAGCCCGTCTCAACTTTAGTTCTTCAGGTGTCATGATTTGTTATCAGAAACAGAATTTTCATATCAAAGATTAGAAAACTGAAAAGAGATCCAGGCGTGATGGTGCACACCTGTTATCCCCAGCATCTAGGAGCCCAAGGCAGGAGGATCCCTGTGAGTTTAAGGCCAGCCTGGGCTATATAGTGAGTTCAAGGCCAGCCTAAACTGCATAGAGAGACCCTGTCTCAAAAACAAACAAACAAACAAAACTGCAAAGAAACTATGCTTTTAATGTGCTATTTTTCCCTGTGGATCTACCAAAAAAAAAAAAAAAAAAGTAGGACATAGCAAAATGCACCTCCACAAATTATTTGGCCACGAGTCTTTGTTTTTTCCTCTTTTATGAAAGTTCTCACCACATTACTTTGTTTTCTGCAGCGCAGCATCTAGAATTCAGTTAACGTACTCAGAGGACGCCGGCCGCTCCCTCCCAGTGTGAGATCAGTCAGTCACAAGCTCAGGGCTCGGACTCAGGTATTTTTGTCTCACAATCCTGCCCCTCTTTGGTCAAGCCTTTATTTTTCTCTTTTACATGGAAGATGTGGCAATATCAAGTGAAATCAAAGATGATCTTCACAGCACAAATTCACGTTCAAAAGGGTGGCATAGAAAATACAACAAGCCGCACATGCGTGGGGCCTCCTGCCCACTCTGTCCCGGGCAGCGGGGCGTGGGAGCCAGGTGCGCGTTTTCGAGACTCCCACTGAGCCAGAGGCCAGCAGGCTGTGTCCTGCGCATACTCTTCTTGTGGGCGTGAGCGGAAGGCGACTGGCTCAGGAATCAGCCGTCTCGTCCTGCTGCCAAGCCCCGAAACCAAGGAGCCCACGCTAAATATAAAAAATATATACTAAAACGACAGGGAGCGTGTGAGGCAGAAGGCAGTCAGGAGGGAAATCTGATAGATCTCAGTGGTGCGTCCATACTGTGAACAATGCTGTTTCCAAAAACTTCAGATATAGGGGAAATTACAGTATAATGTGAAGTGAAAAGGCAAGGTGCAAAACGCTGTGTAAAATTACATTTAAATAGATGTTCGAAGAAGGTATATGAGAAACTAAGAAATATATAACCAGAGGTTAGTAGTGTTGGAATCACAGAGATTTTCTCTTTGCTCTTTTCTATTTATCTTATAAATAGTTTTAAATATATACATATTCTTAATATAATCAGAAAAAAGACTTTCTAGGAAACATTTCATCATCCCATGTTTCCATTTTAAGTTTGAATTACAACTGTAGAAAACTAGACAACTACATGTTAAAGGCAATGAGATCTTCAGTAAGGATTTATACAAAATGCCAAACTGTTTCTAAAATGCTACTCTTGAAAGTAACCCTAAGTAGTATTTGAAGCTATAAATTAAACCTAGAGTGTGCAACACAAGTTACTTTTTAAATCTGCCTTGGAATTCTATATTTGATAGGTCAGCATATTTTAAAATGTCTGACTGCTACCAAGCTATTTCCTCTATGTTTTGATTTTTAACATTGATTTAGTCACTTTTAAGCAAAAGAAATGGTTATGTTCAGTGTTGACCTTCTGGGGGAATTTGATTTGGTTCTCATCCAGTTCAGTTTGCAGCTAGAATCGCAGAAAGAGTTAAGTTCAAACTGAGGTACAACTATGTAGAGTGCTGATAACCAGAAGTGAAAAAGAAAACATACATTTCCACATCAAAAACTCATTAATTAAAAATAACAAATGCACAGGTAAAAACAAAGGAATTTATGAGTAGTTCTTTAGAAATTAAAATGTGTCATCAAACATCAAAAACTCATTAATTAAAAATAACAAATGCACAGGTAAAAACAAAGGAATTTATGAGTAGTTCTTTAGAAATTAAAATGTGGCTTCACACGGCATTCACCTCTGCTTCCTTGGTTATCAGCACTCTGCACTGTAATCCGTTCACAATACAAATGTCAGTCTGGAAGTAGCAGATTTCCCCTGTGGTCAAATCTATTTCATATTTTAAGACAAATATTAATTACTTTGAAATAAATTATTTCAAATGGAATATTTAAGTGTACAAAATTGATTCCATTTAAGCCTCCTAAACTCAGTGCCTACACCACCATCCCCAAAAACTCTATGACAGATAATAAGAAATAAAATAACCATCCTTATCTTTTGCAATTACGAGTATTCCTAACTTATGTCAGAACTAATACTACCTTGCCTTGCTACCACTTCTTATCAGAAAAGATCCCAAAAAATTATCAGTTAAAACAAGTGTAATTCATCTTCTAGTTCCTGCAAAGACAAATATCAGATCCATAAAACTTACCAGGTTAGCTACACACGACTTTAGGCAGATGTTTAAAATTGTACACTGTGCCCCCAAAAGCAGCATGTTACCAAGAGCTGTAAAACTGACAAGTTTCAGGATGCTCCAGAGAGTGTTTGCCATCCCTTCACTGGTGGTGAGTTGTTAGATGGCTGGTCTGATTTTCTCCATTTTCTATATTAATTCTTTAGGTATCATCGCCTCAAATGAAAGAATCTCTAGTAGATTTTCTGGTCTTCTTTTGCAATGTTAGAGTATCCTTGCTTTCTGAAATAACGTTTAGACCCTTTAGTTTAGAACTTCGAGTCTTAGTTAGCTTGAAACATTCCCATAACTGCTCTCATAACCTCATTTCCTTTTCCTCCTGTGATGGAAGTGACGCACTGAGTAAAGGCTAAATCTTAGAAGAGCACTTTGTGTGGAAAATAAACAAAATAGCGCATGCGCATCTCAGAAAGCACATGATACATGCATAGTCTGAAGTTAGAACGCTTCATTGGGCCATCTGCCACTTGATACCTCTGAAGTCGGCTCAATTATGCCATCTCTGGGCTTTGACCATCCATGCTTTAGCAAACAGCAATGCTGCTATAATAAAGAATGATCAAAAAATTAGAAGCACCTAAATCAAGCGATGCAACACAGGGAGAACAGAATACTTTGAAACGAAATACATTTAAAATTAAAGAGCAAACAAAGATGAAATTAATAGACAAATTCCCTGAGGTGAATTAAAGATAAGAAAGCTTGTTAGAGTGCTCTCAGATCTTTACTACACATTAACTAAAACACTGCCTTATCAGGCCTATTCAGACAGAAACCAGCCACCACAGAGTCCTAAGATATGTTTAGGGTAGCTGCCCTCAAAGGGAGCATTGTACAGAATTCAGTTAGCCTAGGATCAAGGCAAAGTAAAGCTAGAGCCCAAAACAAAAGGTTTGAACTCTGCAATATGCAGAAGTGAGCCATTCTGCATCCCTGCTTCTCAGATGTGAAGCATTAACTCTTTAAGGGTATTTTTTGCAATGTTATTCTTTATAATGACAATCTGAAGTGTCGCATAAACTATTTTCCTAAATAAATTGTAAAGTATAGCAAATGCAACATAACCTTTTCTTAGTGATAATGAGGTCCACATTGTAGCACGTGCCTGAGGCTTCATTTTGAGCTAATCATCTTTTAGCAAAAGTTGACAAAGAATGTACAACATAAACCTGAGTTGGTGCTGAACTTAACCCCTAAAGCCTGTTGACTTGAAAAATAATCTCTTGCTGTTCACCTGCTCTTTGTTCACATTTTGCATTTTGGGGAATAAGGAGCTGGGTGGTGGCACACACCTGGAATCCCAGCACTGGGGAGGCTGAGACTGGAGGATGGCCATGAATTCAAGACCAGCCTGGGCTACATACTGAGTTCAAGGCCAGCCTGAATTACCAAGAAAGACCCTGTCTCAAAAAAAAAAAAAAAAAGGAATGGATTAAAGGACACCTTTGTAGTCAAGACATAATTTATAGGATTATTTTATAATGTTCACCCAAAAAGTCAAATACAGAGGATTGCAAGAGATCTGTCCACATGCTAGAGACCAAAGACCTGAGTCCCCCAGCAATGTCCCACACAAGTCCAGCTGAAGGCCTAGAGCCCAGGGCAGTGTCCTCCACAAGTCCGGCCAGAGGCCCAAAGCCCACAGCAGTGTCTCATGCAAGTCCGTACTGAGGATCTCTCTGGGAAGGGCCAACGCCCAGTGGTGCAAACCAGAGAACCTGTGCAGCGGGGTCATGAATCTGTGCCACCAGGCTGAGGGATCAGTGCTGGAGCCAGAAAGCAATGCTCAAGGCAAAGACCAGAGCTCCTCCGAAGAGAAGAGCAACTATTCCCCACAACAGCAAGGACCCAAGCTCCTCTGAAGACTGTAACAACCAGGTTCACATCAGGAAAACCAGCTACAGCAAGCCTCCCCAGGAAAATCAACAGCTTACAGTTCTGCTTTTACACCACTCTGGCAACAGTCCTCAGGTGGGTCTTCCATGCCCAAACCATGCTGACTCAGTTCCAAGTCGAGCATTAGTTAATCCACCACATATATACAGCTGCACCAGAGGAATTTGACCATCTTTCTGTAAAATACAGTTGAAAATAGAGAATAAAGTATCTTGCCTAACAGATGTTTTTCATTCCAATGAAATTTATCTTCTTTGCTGTGGCTACTGGCTCCTTTTGACCTAGTAGCTTTTAAGATGGAGCCACAAACATGTACGTTCAAAACCTTAGATCATTCTTTCTTCTCACTTGTTCTAACTTTATTGGTTGGCTGTGAAAAAGAAGTACCCTTGAAATATCAAGAGTTTGCATTATTCTGGTTTGGGAAATTAACAGCACACAAACTGAAAGTATGTTCACAGACACTTGTTTCAGAATTGTTCATATTAGCAAAAGGTTGGAAGCAGCCTAAAAGTATAATAACATAATGCTGAATCAAAATTATACTTATTTTTGTCATCTTTTTGGTGTGGCTTCTCCAGGGGAGCTTGTTTGAATTTCTTACCACACAGGTTGGTGATTAGGCTGCTTACATAGTGGCTTAGAGCTTGGTGAAAGTGCTCCAGCTCCCAAAGCATAAGCTGTATTGTCTTAGATATCACATTGTCACATCTGCTCATTTCACTGGTTGCCAAAGAATCACAAACATATGCCCAAATTCAAGGGAGTTAAACACCTACCTCTTGATAGGTCAGAGCCAAGACTACAGAAGAACAAGAGACATTATTGCATAACTTTTTAAAACTACAATATATTGCCTTAAAGTGGTCCTCATTGATATGGTTCTGATATGTGGACATTTCAGTTATCAGTTTCCCAATAATGCAGGTCTAACTTCAGTTAACATCACGTATTATCAGTGAGTGATTGCATAAAGTATAACCTTCTCAAGCTGCCCTTTCAGTCCATAAAATAAAGGTAAATAGCAGATGGCATCGTGATCAGAAATCAATTGTGTCTCCTCTTTCAAGGTCGCAGTGGTTGGTCACTGTGCATTGTTATTCAGTTCATGCAAAGCACGTTCTTCTGTTGCCTCTTTGTCTTTCAGTGGCAAAATTCATGTAACATTTTGTATAGTGACACTTGCAAAAATGAATAGTTCAAAGACAAAATTGCCAGCAAATGTAAAGCAAAATAATTTTGAAGTGAAATTTGAATCAAATAGAATTAGAAATCAATAACCACATGTTAGCATTCTGTTATATATTTAAAGAAACTGAAATAATCAGCTTTCAAAGAGAGAAGGTTTATTTTGTCCCTTAGTTTCAGAGGTTCCACTCCATAACCAGGCTAAGCCATTGCTTTCTGTCTCCTCATGGGAGGGCAGAGAGTATGACAAGAGCAGTTGGCACAGCAAAGCTGCCCACCCCATAGCCAGGGAGTGAAGAAGAGAAAGAGGACAGCAGGGTCCCTATTCCCTGGCCCACACATCCCTGGTGTCTAAAGACCTCCCACTAAGGCTTCCCTCTTAAAGGTCCCATCACCTCCCAATGGCACCATGTTACAAACAGGCTTTTAACACAGGGGTCTTTGGGGGTCATTTAGAATAAAAAGAATAGCATGATAACAATACTGATATTGCTGCCATTTCACAAACTCTATACATACATGGAGCCCAGGGAAATAAATGAAAGTAAATGTATGAACATAAATGAAGGAATTTATTGTGTTGAAAAAGATAAAGGTATCTTACAGGAAATCATGCCAGCAAAAAAACAAAACAATCACATGAAGCATATCACTTGGGGAATTATTTTTCCTTCTACTTCCAAGTCTGGAGTTTTTTTAGAAACTAAAAGTTCTGGAAGATTGGTATTTAAGTGGTTCGTCTTTTTTGTAGGGCAATATTTACTCTTCGTTACAATTTCGAGCTCTCCAAAATCTGTCGTGTGTGTGTGTGTGTGTGTGTGTGTGTGTGTGTGTGTGGAAGATGACTGAATCATGGGGGTTTTATACTCATCAGCAGGTTGCTTGACTGATGAGTTCATGGTTGACTTGCTATTAGGCCTGGGTAGAGGAAGGTCATTGAGGATGTGACCTGAGTAGATGTCCTCTCTCCCCCTTGGAGCCAGTCAACCATGGACTGACCCACTGAAACAATGAGCCAAAAATAACCTCTCTTTCTTTAAGTTGTGGGTGTCAGATATTTTATCTCAACAACAGGAAATCTGACTGATACAAATTTTTTACAAAGAGTTGGATTGTTGCTATGACTATACCTGATCATGGTGGTTCGGGAGCCTTGGGAATTGGTTTGTTGTTAAGAGATTGGAAAGATTTGGAGACACTGGCTACAAAAGTTTTAAAATTATATAAGCGTAGATTAATGGGAGACTCTGGTCAGAGCTCAGAAGGCTAAAATGGTGATGAGAATGCAAACAACAAAGGCCAGGCTTAGGAGGTTTCAGTTAGGAAGGAGGACTCCACTGGCAACTGGACAAGAAACCATGAAAAATTTTATTCTAGATAAGAATCTGTCTGCATTTTGCCTGTGTCCTAAAGCTTTGTGTGAGGCTGAATTTAAAGATGGTAGAGTAATTAATCTGGCAGAGAAAATTTTAAGGCAGTCAATGTTCATTAATGTGCCATTAATGCTGCTTGTGGATTTTAACCACATCAACAGTAAAAATCGGAGAGAAAGAATAGTTGAACGATTTGAAAAACTTGCAGTTTGGCCAGAAGGAAAGAGCCAGCAAGGTTGGGGCCATGGAGAGTATGGTTGTTGAGATTAGCACTAAAATAAAAAAGCTAAGAAGTTTGAATTAAGACAATAGAAAATATGGTTTTAATGTATCTTAGGAATCAGCAAGACTTCACCCTTCACAGGCTGAGAAGTATAAAAGTATAAACTTTAATTTGAGAAAAGAGCCCCAGGGCAATCTGCTCAAAATGGGCCATCTAGAAAATTGGTTCCGTGGAATTCATTTCATCATGCTTAGCCTCTTAGGTACTCAGCCTAATCCAAAAGGCCACTGCAGCCATGATCCAAGGGGCCTAACTACAGTCTGAGCTGGCAGCAGACATCAGAGCCATCTGATAGCTTTACAGGCATGGGAAATGCAAGAGTTATAGGGTCATGAAAG